CGCAGCTTCTGCCTCCCGACGAGGTGGACGTCTTCTTCAACCACCTCGACTCGCAGGGCAACCCCTACTACGCTAACCCGGCCCACGCTCGAGCGCGCGTCTCCTACAGCCCCGCGCACGGTGAGCCCAGGGCCGGTGGGTGACTGGGAGGCCAGGCGCCGTGAGCCTGGCGCGGGAGAGGAGGAGGGCCCGGCTGCTTGCTTCCCGGATGTGGGATCCGCAGGAATCGGAGCTGCTAAGAAATCCGGGCGGGAGAGATGGGGACAGCGGCCTCTTGGGGAGTATCTGGGCCCCATAGATTTTCTGCCCATTTCCAGCTGGCCTGTGGGGGTTCCCTCCAGGCCCTGTCCAGGGGGGTCCCTTCTGTGCCACTAGTCCTTCAGCTCTGCACTGACATTCCTGATTATTGCCGGTTAGGGTGTTATGTTTCTCGTTTTCTTTGGGGAGGGGTCACTCGATTGCGTATTGTGCCCCTTCGTATCTGTGACCTGGCTTGGCTGGTCTGGCACCCTGACCCCTCTCCCTCCCCCCACAGCCCGCCTGACCGGAGGCCAGATGTGCCGCCCACACTTGTTGCACAGCCCCGGGCTGCCCTGGCTGGATGGGGGCAAAGCAGCGCTCTCGGCTGCAGCGCACCACCACAACCCCTGGACCGTGAGCCCCTTCTCCAAGACGCCACTGCACCCCTCCGCTGCTGGAGGCCCCGGAGGCCCCCTCTCCGTGTACCCAGGGGCAGGGGGCGGGAGCGGGGGAGGCAGTGGTAGCTCTGTGGCCTCCCTCACCCCCACGGCGGCCCATTCTGGCTCCCACCTCTTCGGCTTCCCACCCACGCCACCCAAGGAAGTGTCTCCCGACCCTAGCACCACTGGGGCTGCCTCCCCAGCCTCCTCTTCTGCAGGGGGTAGTGTGGCCCGGGGGGAGGACAAGGACGGCGTCAAGTACCAGGTGTCTCTGACCGAGAGTATGAAGATGGAAAGCGGCAGTCCCCTGCGGCCGGGCCTGGCTGCCATGGGCACCCAGCCTGCCACACACCACCCCATCCCGACCTACCCCTCCTACGTGCCAGCTGCCGCCCACGACTACAGCAGCGGACTCTTCCACCCTGGAGGCTTCCTGGGTGGCCCTGCCTCCAGCTTCACCCCCAAGCAGCGGAGCAAGGCACGCTCCTGCTCAGGTAAAGGCAGGTGCCGGCACCTAGTGGAAGTGGGGATTGTCTGTGCTCTTGGTGGGAGGGGCTGTGATGTGGGAGATGGGGCAGTGGCAGTCTCCCGGATCTCGGTGACATCCGTCTCTGACAGCCCCTGACAGATGCTTGGGACCCCAGAGTGGTGGGAAAGGGGCCCTAAAACTCTCGCCCTTTTCTTGAGGGTTCCTGGTGGCTCCAAAGTTTATTTCGCCTCCCCACTCCTCCTCATCCCCTCCAAGGTTGGCCACAGCCCGACCAGAACACAGAATGGGAACTCCCCCCTTCCCCTCCCAGACTCTTAAGTGAAAATTTGAGCAGTCTCACGACTTAGCGTGTGCGAGAGTGCAGAACCCAGGGGAGAGCAGTGAGGTGGTGTATACGTGTGTGTACGTGTATTGGTGAGCGTGTGTGCGTGCTGGGGGTGGACTCTAGAGGCTCCAGACCCTTGAGGAATCCGGATCTCCAGCTCAATCATTCTGATCTTGGGATTTCGATAGCTCCCTATCTTCCTGGGAGATTTCCCCTGAGGCAGAACTCCTAGGACCAGTTTGCACTCCCTGCCCCCTGGCGTGTCCTTCACTCTCCCTCCCTGAGGGCCGGAGTGAGGAGGTGGTGCTGGAGGTGCCTCTGCCCCTTTGCTGCGGGAACTGGCTGTGGCCGGGCTGGGTTTGTCCAAGAATCTGGCCGCAAAGCAGATGCCGTGGCTGGTGTGGGCTCCTGCTGTCCACACCTCCTTCCAGTCCCTTTAAGCCGGGGGAGAGGAAGATTTTAAAAACTTCTACTCCTGAGTCCAGAAACCACATTCTCTTGCCCTTATAGACTGACGATTTAGTTTGAACTAAATGGGGGGAAACGTCCTGGGTGGCACAACGCGAAGACAGCTCTGGGCTTGGCCCTGCCGCGGCCAGCGCCTCCCTCAGTCCCACCTCGGCCCGTTTTGCTCAGACCAGCTAGCTTGCCTTTGATTAGTCCTTTCTCCCAGATTTGTTTTACGTTCTATCTGAATTCCAGATGGTCTTTTAACAACAACAAAACAAAAACCACCACCGCCAGCAACAGACCAAGGGCACTTCGTCTACTTAGCCTAAAAACGAAAGGGCTTACTATTTATTTCGTTTCAAAGAGCAGCAACGTAGATCCCAGTCCAGGGCCTCAGCGGAAGGCAGGGAGGTCGGGGAGAAAGAAGGAAGTGACCCTGGACGGCCAGAGGGACGGACAGGACGGACGGGCGGGCGGACGGAGGGAGAGCAGAAAGACGGAGCAGGGGTGGGGGCCCAGGACGGGAAGCAGACTCGGGAGATGCAGATGCTGCTGGTGAGAAAGGCTGGGGACGAGAGGAGAGGGGCTAGAAAGGGAGCCGATCCTCTGGCCCAGCCGGCTCGAGCCAGTGACTCCTGCCCCCGCCCTGCCGCCATCGGCAAAGTTTGCTGTAAATACCCTTTCCTGGCCGTGCTGAGAACCCCTGGGGCCCTGGCCCCACTCCTCCCTCCGGCCTCGTTTCCCTTCCTTCTAGAGAAGGTCTTGAAGAGGGAGGTTTGGCCTTAAACGACTCCCCGATTTCTGTCTCCCGGGTCCTTCTTCCTGCCGGGCTGGAGCAGAAAGTCACCCCCGAAGCAGCCTGGCCGGGCAGACCGGCCAGACTGTTTCTGCCCGCCGGCTCCCTCCCCTGACCTTGTCTGTTGAGCCAGCCCTGTGTCTCCCCTCTCCCCTTTCAGAAGGTCGGGAGTGTGTCAACTGTGGGGCCACAGCCACCCCTCTCTGGCGGCGAGACGGCACCGGCCACTACCTGTGCAACGCCTGCGGGCTCTACCACAAGATGAACGGGCAGAACCGGCCGCTCATCAAACCCAAGCGGAGACTGGTAGGAGCTGGCGCGGTGGCGGGTGGGCGCGGGGGCCGCACCCTGGGCCGCTAAGTTAGGGAAAGACCTTCCAATGCAGGGGGTTTGTTACTTAAAGTCTTTCATCATTAGAATCACTGGGATGTCAGCTGAGGTTGCCCTTCTCTTAGGCTAGAGTTTTTCTGATCGGGTGTCCCCTCTGCGGCCCACCAGGTGCCCTCAGGGGTCCCCGAAGCTGAGCGTCCGGGGGCCCGGCTCCTGTCCCCTGGCCTCTGTGCAACTCCTTTTAAAAATAGGGCCATGAAGTAATTTTCCCTGTGGCTGAGGGCTGCTCTCACTGGCTTCCCAGCACACAATCTCCCCACGCTTATTTAAATAAAACACACCAACCACCAAAAAAACCTGCTCTTTATTATTTTTCCATGGAGTCACCTATACTGTGTATTTTCATTTGAGTGATTTAAAAAAATGCCCTTTCGGATCTCCTGCCGGAGTTTCCTATCCGGACATCTGCAGGCTGAAGATAAGGAAACTCTGTGTATCTGTTTCCGGACTCTGCGAGTTTTTAGAGTCTCTCCTCGGCTCAGTCCTGCCTCTCGCTGGGCTGTTTTGAAATTTCTAATACCCTCTACTCTGCAAATAATGCGTAAAATGCTAAGAATAATAAATATATTTTTTCAGGGCGAAGTGATTTATGAGGCTTAAATCGCTGGCTGCTTTGGGGGCCCCCTTTTTTTCTCCTGGAGCGAGGGCGGGTGGCGGCCGGCCGGAGGATGCGGGGTTGGCCCCTGAGTCAGAATTCCAGCTTCAGGCCGCTTACTCACCCTCACCCCTCCCCGCCCCCCTGGCTGCAGCCAGGCAGGCCCCTCTGCAGCCAGGCTCGGGCCTGGGGCCATTCCAGCCTCTGTTGGCCTCGGCCCCCACCCCCACCCCGGCTGCCCGCGGTTCCCTGGGAAGTGTTGTGGGGCTGGGCTGCTGGACCCGGGAGCCAGAGTCTGCTTTCCTGGGTAAAGACCCCTTTACCTGGCCTCTCAGGCGCCTTTGGCTCCCTTCTCCAGAAACCAGACACTCTTTCCAGGTCCCCTCTGCCCTGAGGGTCTGGGGGGCAGTTAGAGTGCTGAGGTTTGGGGTACAGGGTGCTGGGCAAATAGGCCAGTATTGTCCAGAAAACCTGCAGTGCTGGAAATTTTCTAGCTCCGCCTGGCTCACTAGGGTTGCCTCTAGCTCGTGTTGTGACTGTTGACCCCTTGAAACGTGGTTGGTGCCATTGAAGGAGTTGAGTTTCCAATTTTATTAAATTGTAGTTCAATTCAACTGAAATAGCCACATGGCCAGTGGCTACCGAACTGCACAGAGCTGCTCTAGGCTCCCAGAGCGCTTCACGCTCCCGCCTCCGGCAGCTACATGGTGCCCCTCCTCTGGCCTCGGGGAGGCAGACGAGCCCAGCCTTATGGATTTTGTGGGAACGCAGCTCCAGACCCAAGTGTCCTGTGGGAACCAGCCAGCCTTCTGAACTGAAGAGCCCTTCTCAGGGTCTCAGTTTCCCTATCTGAAACGTTAGCTTTTTTGGCAGTTGCAGGAGGTGGCCAGTGTTTGCTTCCAGCTCTTGAGACCCCCTTGATTCTGCGATCAGACTCTAGAGAGTTCTTTATTCTAAAGCTCTGTGATGGCTTAGGTCTCAGATTCTAAAATTCCACTGCCCTGAGATGCCTTGATTCCCCTGTGACATTTGCCGCTCCCAGGCCACGTTGGTGGGGGCCAGGGGTGGAGCCAGGGTCAGGGAGGGAGGTCGCGGGGGGTCGTGGGAGCCCAGCCTGCTGACGCCACCCCTCCCTCCCAGTCGGCTGCCAGGAGAGCGGGCACCTGTTGTGCGAATTGTCAGACTACAACCACCACCTTATGGCGCCGGAACGCCAACGGGGACCCTGTCTGCAATGCCTGTGGCCTCTACTACAAGCTGCACAATGTGAGTCTGCCCGCCCGGCCCGCCCCACCCTCCCCGGGGACCCCTGCGCTTTGTGCTGCCGGGAGAGGCCCCGCCAGTCTCCGGCGTGGCTTGGCTTGGGAAGCTGCTACACTTCCCATAAGAGGGGCAAGCTGGCCAGGCGGCCAGGAGGATGTGCCCCACCGCAGGGGCCAGCAGGGCGAGGGAGGTGGTACCTCTGCTTAAAGCCAGAGTGTTTGGTGGGTTGTGTCAGTGGGGGGCAGTGCTGGCGTTTGGTGGCCTGAATGCCCTACAGGGCGCGGCTCCGTCCCACAGGGCAGCAAGGCTGTGAGACACACCGGTGGATGGCGGGCATTTGGCGGTGGGGCTGGGAGTCTCACTCTGGGAAGGGAGCTCCACCCCTGAAGGCTCTGCGGTTGCTCCCAGGTGAACAGGCCGCTGACCATGAAGAAGGAAGGCATCCAGACCCGGAACCGGAAGATGTCCAACAAGTCCAAGAAGAGCAAGAAGGGGGCTGAGTGCTTCGAGGAGCTGTCCAAGTGTATGCAAGAGAAGGCCTCCCCCTTCAGCGCGGCCGCTCTGGCCGGACACATGGCGCCTGTGGGCCACCTCCCGCCCTTCAGCCACTCGGGACACATCTTGCCCACCCCGACGCCCATCCACCCCTCCTCCAGCCTCTCCTTTGGCCACCCCCACCCCTCCAGCATGGTGACCGCCATGGGCTAGGGACGGCCCCCCTCGAACCGACAGACCACGCCGAGGAAGGCGCTCCCAGGACGGGTGGACCCAGCCTTAGCTTCCCGGCCTTGCAGCGCCGCCGGAGCCCCGGGCCACCTCGCCTGCCCATGGGCACTCCACTCCCTCGGCCGTCACTGTGAAGATTCCCGCGGGCTGGGAGGCCGCCTGGGCCTGGCTGCCACCCAGGTGGGGTTTCCACCACGGACAGATGTTTGGAGAGCAAAAAGGACAACTTTATGAAGATAAAGGGAGGCGGCAAGGGACAAATGAAGAAAACTGTTTTCAGAAGAAAAGGGGAGCGGGCAGAAGTAATTTATTTTGCTCTTGTTTCCAGCAAGGCCTGGGAGACCTGGGAGGCCTGAGGTGCCCCGCGTTCTCGGGTCTTCCTTGGTGCCAAGTGCCACTTGGCTGGCCCGCTTGCCAGGCTCCGGGGGCAGGTCTGCAGGGACCTCAGCCCACCCTCTCCTCTGGCTCCCTCTCTGGAACAGCTGGTCCCAGGCCGGGCGGGGCCAGTCCAGGAGGGGCTGCCGGTCCAGCCCGGGAGGCCGAGCCGGTGCTGGCCAGGGAGGCAGGGCCCTGGAGGGCAGAGACAATCACAGGCGGTCCCGCGCAGATTCCCAGGCCAGGGCTGGGTCACAGGAAGGAAACAACATTTTCTTGAGGGGGGAAACATCTCCCAGATCGTTCCCCTGGCCCGGAGGCTGAAGCTGGTGTGACCTGTGTGCCCTTTTTGGGCTGAGCCACAGCCTGCCTTTTTGGCCAGGTAGACCCCTGTGTATATACGTCCTTTTTCTGATAACCCCTCAACCCCCTCCCCTCCAAATCTGAGACAAAAGAAAAAATATTAAAAAAAAAACCTGCATAAGCTTAACTCGCTGATGAGTTAGTTTTATTTTTAAACTCTTTTTGGGTCCAGTCAGTTGTATGTCACCATGAAAAGCCCTTGCTGTGGACAAACCAAGGCTGTAGCTTCACAATTATGTTTGGAGAAGTTCTTGGACCCCACAGCCCTGGGCTGAGGAGTGGGGGCCAGGGGGGTGCCGGGGGGGTACCAGGGGGGCCTCGGCTGCCCTTGGCTTCCAGTGGCCTGGCAGGTGGCGAAGGCAGGAGCTGGGGCTGCGTCAGAGCCAGGACCAGGACGGAGGGAGAGGCCACGCCCTGCCGGGTTCTGCTCTGCTCTGCAGTGGCTGTCTGGATCCTTCCCGAGGTACAGCTGTACATAACTGTGTCTGAGCTGGGAGTGTGTGCAGCGGCGGTGGGGTGCGGCGCCGGCGAGGGCCCGGCCGGGGAGCGGGCTGTGCTGACGCGGCCGGCCAAGTGCAATACGGGCAGGCGATCGCTGCCGGGCTCCGCAGCCAGAAGTAACTTATTTTGTACCAATATCCGCGTAAGAAAAAGAATCGGCAGTATTTTCTGGTTTTATGTTTTATTTGGCTTGTTTTATTTTGGATTAGTGAACTAAGTTATTGTTAATTATGTACAACATTTATATATTGTCTGTAAAAATTGTATGCTATCTTCCTATTCCTTTAAAGTGAATACTGTTCAGAATAATAAAATACTTTTTGTGGATGCCTCTGGCCTGTCTTGTGGGCGCCCGGGCTGCGGAGTCCTGGGTGCGGAGGTCAGCCAGCCAGACCAATTCTCACCTGCTGATTGGGATGGAAGGGCCCCTGCCCGGCCCAGGTCTGAGAGCCTGATCATCCCCTCCCTGAACTGCTCCTCCCTGAATTTCCTTATTACCACATAACCGGGGGTCCTGGGGGCTGGGTGGGTCCCGAGCAGGCACAGGAATGCTGTGATTTCTGCCGCCTTTAGTCCACATGCTGATCCTTTTCTAAGGACGCAACCTGAGCTCATGCAGAGCCCAGCAAGGACTGACCGCACCTCCCACTCCCGTCCTCTTCCTCCAGGTGTTGATCAGCTCTTGTGTCTGTCTCGTCACCAGTATTCCTGCTCACTGACAAGCCTGATCACCAGTGTCTTTGACCACTGGTGTCACCGACTGCTGTCAGCTGTAGTCAGCGGCGCTGGTCGTGGCGATAGCCGTCATGACTGGCATTCCTGATTGATGAAGTGTTGGATCACCGGAGCCTGTGACCAGAGACTTCTGATTGCTAACAACTGGCCACCAACACGTGATCACCGATACCTCATCAATGCCTCTGATCAGCGTGTATGTGATCACCGACATCTACAAAGTGTGAGCACTGGAGTCCCGAGGAACTGTCCTTGTCACCAGCAACATGAGTGGTTGTGAACATCTCCTCCCACCTGTTGCTCATCAGGTAGCTCTTCCCATTCAGTGTGTATTTCTATTCAGTGTGTCTGGTCCCCAGCATCTCAGGTGACCACTGTCTGTCTCCCCAACACTTCTCTGCACCACGTCTGTGATCACAGGTTCCTCTTACCACCCGACTTCCCGTCACTGGTGCGTTGGTCACAACTGCGCCCTGTCCCTCACGTCCCAGGTCATCCAGAAGCATAACCCCCAGTCTCGTTGATCAACAGTTTTCTAATCAGTGACAGATCTGGTTACTTATCTGTGGCCTCCAGTGTCTCCAGTCACACTATTTCTCCTCACCAATGTCTTCCGAACAACGTCCTTGGTCATTCGTCTCCAATCACTAACATCTCTAACCAGCAATGCCCCATGTCCCTGAACACGGAATCTTCTTACCATCAAACTTTCTACCATCGTGGTCACCAGTGACTCTGGTTTCCAACAACCCCGACTGCTCAGCATCAGTCACCGAGCTCTCTAGGGCCCAGCGTCAGTGATGGCTGATCCATCTTGCCTTTCGAGTCCCTGATGACCAGTGTCCCTTATACCCCAATCACCAGTAGCACCAATCGCCAACCTCCCTGACCATCAAGGTCACCAGTCACTGTGTCTCTGATCACCAAATTCTCCAACCATCAATGCCTTTGATCCCGTAGATCACACACCACCAAGATCTCTGGGTGTCTCTAGTCACCGAGTCCGATCACCAATATCTCCTCTGCCCTTGCTCATCAAGGACATGGCCCCAACACTCCTGGCACCCACAGTCTCAGTCCCCCGCGTCCCTGGTCAGTGATTAACGACACATCCAGTCAGCGAACACTGGTCACCAAGATCTGTGATCACGTCATGTCTGAATGACATCATCTCCCCACTGCTTTACTGTCCCTAATTACAAGTCACTCGAGTCATCTGTCCCTGATCAGACTGACTTCTTCTGGCCCTGATCCTCCTCCTCTCGGGTTCCCTGTGCTCGCGATGACGAGTATTTCTGACTGCCAGCCTCCTTGTTCCCTCGTGGCCCCGACACCCCCTGTCTGGGGAGCTCTCCTTTCACTCTTCTCATCCCAGACTGTTGGGGCAGACAAGGCGCTCACTCGGGGCTGGGAAGCAAGGGTCCTGTGCCAGCCGGCACGCCTTCCGTAAGGTCCCAGATGCCCCAGCGCATTGGGACAGAGAGGGGAGCATCCCTGGGACCCTGGCTCAGGGCGCCCTGGTCCTCGTGCTCCACAGCCACCCTGCCCACGTCCTCTCTGCGTGAAACAGGGACCTGGAGCAAGCAGGCTCCGACCCCGGTGTGTCCTGGGTGGGCACTGCCGGCCCGTCTGAGAGCAGAGTGGCCTCCTCCTAGGTGTTGAACGCCTAGATGCCAGGCACTGTTCTGGGTGTGGAGGCCACGTGGTGCGCAAGACAAGCAGGAATCTCTGCTCTTGGGGGGCTTACGTTCAGAGCACCGTGGCCGCTCTGCCAGTGGGCCTATTCGCCTGGCCCCAACACAGAGCCCAGGGCCAGGTCCCAGAGTCCACAGCTTACAGTCTACAATCTGCAC